ATCGAATAGTCCAAATAGATATCGAAAATAGTAAAAAATAAGTTAAATGTAAGTCTTAAAGAAAGACGTTTAACTCACATTTTTTAAAGAAAATTCAATTATTTCGTTAACATTTATTATTTTTGCGATACTAATTTCTCAATGTAATTTTCATAATTTATTAGGAAATTTTATATGGAATATAACATCAAATTTTTTTGAAATTTTACATCCGAAAAAGTTATATCTCATGTAAATTTTCGGATGCAAAATTACATGGGGTATGATTTTTTTGGACGTAAATTTTCGATTATAAAATTTCTCCCAACTTCTTTACAAGTTCGATTGTGCCCCCTTAATTTTAAAGCTCTGCATCCGCCCTGGAAGTAGGGATAAATGCTAATTTTGATATAATACAGAAAATAAATGCTTAATTATGTCCTTAATTTTTAGCAATGGTCCCCTTTTTTGGCCGATGAAGGGTATCACTACTGCTACCACTATTGTCAAGATCCAATTACTGCATAACTTTTACCAATTCAATTGTTGAATTAGATAAGCAGTATTTACCAAGTTCACAATCTGATAAAAGAACAAGAAGAAGAAACTAAACGTATTATTTTCAACAAATATGGGCTCGCCTTGTGAACCAATTGTAGTTCATGAAACGAAATCCAACAAACTTACAAGGGATTGAAAGGAGGACCAAAGGCGTTGGAGGTCCTGGTTAAGGATGTTAATGTGACTCGCAGGCTCGAGCGGCCCATGACTCTGCTCGGGAAAAGCCCGAGCCGGGCTGGCTCATGGCTTGGGGTGAGGGCTCGAGCCCGAGCCAACCCATGTGGTTGCCTGCGAAACCCAAGCAGCTCACGAATTATTATAAAAATAAAATAAAATAAAGTAAAAATCGAGCTGGCTTAGCTCGGGCTCAGCTCGTAAAGGCCCGAGTCGAGTCTAAATTTTTTGGTCGAACAAAAGCTCGGCTCGACTCGGGTAAAAAAAAAATCCGAACCATTTTTACTCGAGCCGAGCCCGAACTTCGAGTATTGGCTCATGGCTCGACTCGACTCGACTCGGCTCACTGACACCCCTAGTCCTGGTTGAGCACTGCTGTAAACGACCCAATTCTTGAAACAAAAATACTATCATAAGCATTTACGCTAAGTTGCATAAATCACGATTAAGTGAAACCAGCACAAGAAATAATTATTTAAACAAAAGCTTATGCTTCTTTAATGGTTATTTACTATGCATTTTAAATCCCGGTAGCCTAATTTTGACATTCCTTCTAATTGTTTTGCCATTTTTTGCTACACTTGTGTTGTTGTAACATTGGACACTTAGCTCACAATTCTTGTGGTTTTTGAAGGCCAAATTTGCAGAAGAATTTGGCCTGAAGAGAGGTTCAAAGGCATGATAGGGCTTATTGATGTGGACTTCAGTACAAGAACTGAATTCATTCATAGATTTTCTAATCAACATATTTAATATTTTGTGTTGATCTATAAATCTTACTATAAAATTTGTCAATGTAATGAGAATTTATCATCAACTATTCTTACACTAATGTCCAAATGTATAGGAAGGAGACTATTGGTGGAAATAGTGGTAGAGATAATGTGAGAATATTTAAAGGTGGAGAATTCCACCGTTGAAAAAAGGAATATTATAAATCCTATGAATTTTTTTGATGTTACAATAATTTTTAAAATCTTATTGGTACATTTTGGTTTTATAGTTTGTTAGTTCATATTTTTATTAGTTATTTTCTCTATTACCACACTCTTTCTCCATTGATTATCACACCTTTCGAATTACTACGTACCTGTTTGACAATCATATTGGTAGAAAAAAGAATGAATAGTGATTTTTAAAAAAATGTGTGATTAAAAAATAGGGAAAAGTTTTTGGTATACGTATAGAATATTTTATTGTGTAAGTCTATGGTTAAAAATGATCATATAACAAACCATAAAATAAATTAAAGAGTGTCAAACAAACCCTAAGGTTGTAGCTACTTTGAATCTTTGATTAGATCTGTAAATATATATTATGTTCTGGTTCTAATTGTTGAGTGAATCCCTATTTTGTCTCTAATACTCGCAAGTTCAAGATAATAGGTAAATCCCTATATATTATTCTTCAAAAATCCAACCATCATTATTTTGGTGGAATTCGAAGTTATTTCTCGTCGTGTAATCTCGTGTGGATTACCATCGAATGTTATTCTTCAAAAGTCCGACTATCATTATTTCGGTGGAATTCTAAGTTATTCTTGTTGTGTGGATTACGATTGAAGCTGAACATTTGGACAAAAGTGGTGTGCCGAGATCGTGACATATCAAATTGTTATCGTCAAATGTATAATCTTTACCATAGATTCTTCCTAAACAAAAAGTGATCCTGATTTGATTATTGAAATTGTTTGATTTCACTGTGCATGATTAAGTAAATATCCAACAAAATTTAGCCCCTGATTGATAAAAATTAAAATCCAAATTTTAATATAAGTCAAAGTTAATAACTAATTTTAACCACATATTTTATGGAACCAACAAACTTTTAACCACACATTTCAATATCTATTATCAAAATCTACTAAAAATTTAATTTTAAGGTTGAACCCCAACCTTGAGGGTGCCTCAACGCCTCTCCCCCTAGAGCATTGTGGAGAAGGTAAATTGTGAGATGTGTCTCGGCAAGCTAGAGTACAAGAGATGTCATACTGGTGTTCACAAAGAGTCTAATTTCATACCTTGCAAGAAACAGGAATCGTACCCTCACACTGCGGCTGCCAACTCAATTGAAACTACCTCACTCATATCCTTTATACCACTAGCTATGCCCCGAGGGACCACTGAAATTTTAATTTTAATCCCCACCTAACATGGCCTTTATAATGAATACAACATAGTGGTGTAAAAAATTCAAACAACGAATCTTAAATTATTTGAATTCGCATACAAAACTCAATTTCACCAAACCCACAATACATTAGATCCAATTCCCAATTAGATTATTAACCAAGTAGAATTTCCTCTTTCAATTCACTTTTTCCTCAGTTTCGTCAGCTTTTTGGGTAGGCTCTTTATCTTTATCCTTCTCCTTCTCTTTCTCTTCCTCTCTCTCTTTCTCTTCAAGAGATTGAACAAGGGATTCCAACTTTTCCTCCTTTTCCTGAACCTGCATTTACATATTAATAATTAGCATCCTTAAACAACCACAATTACTGCGAGGGAGTTTCATAATAACTGAAAAAAGTGAAGAAAATATTATTTACTCTAAAAAGGTACTTGTTTAATGTAGATTCTAAGCTTAGGTCAACAAGCATATAGTAAAATTAAAATGTTATTCACAGTGAGCACTATCGATAGTCGCCTATGTGATATACATGTAACAATTTATTATTTGATGCATTGATCATGTGGTAGTTTTTTATTACTTCATGAATTAAATAACAAACTATCATATGTATGACACATAGAACGACTAGCGATAATTCTCACTATGAATAGCATTATCTATTTCTAACATTTTTTAGTCGCAAATGAATAGTCAGATCATGAATAAAGCAAGTTATTAAATTAACGAAGTCAAACCTCATCAATAAAATCATCCATTAAGCCAGCATCCTTAGCTACTCTCTCAGCTACCCTTTCAACAAAATCCACAACCTTTCTTAATTCTCCGCCGGCCGGAAGATCATCGGCGATGTCCTCTGCCACTTTCTCCACTTTCCCCGCCACCTTTTCGACAGCCTCCACCACATATTCCACCTTATTCAATGCTGCATCAATTTTATCTGCCCATTTGAGGGTACAAGAATTGGAGTCATAAGATGTCATGAAGAAAAATATATATTACTCACGTTTAAACTGCTTAAATTTTTAAATAACGAGCATGTTTTCTTAAGTTTAAAAGAAAAATTAATACTGTTAAAGAAAATTAGACGAAGACCTATTTATGAAAAATAAGATGTTTGGCAACAAAAAGTTATTTTTAAAAAAAAATCTTTTATGTTTAACCAAACATGACCAGATATAAAGTAGACAAAAACCCTGTCTCAACTTGGTTAAAACAAGAGTTATGCTACACGAACACGCTCAATGACGGATTAAAAAATAGGATAGACACATGTCGACACATGATTAGACAATTTGAAGAAGGAAAAAAAACACCCAAACAGGTGCTACGTGTCACCCCATCATGTCAATAACAAGGAGCGTTATGCTTAAGGGATTTGCTACTTATACATCACAATGTACATTGGGGTGTACACCCTCCTCACATGGGAGTGGGACTCGCTTAAATAAAAAAATATTTTATGCAATAGGCCTCACCTCCCATGTGAGGGGGTGTAGCTCTTTATGTACAAAAGTCGATGTATAAGTAGAATTTTCCTATTCTTAAAACAGTGAATCTAGGCGTGTTGTCTGTGTTGAAGATAAAGTACAGATAAATAAATTTCTTCCACACTCTTAAAAAATTTAAACGCATTTTTTGTTTAAATGCTAATTTTGAACATATAACTTCCAAGAACCCTGGCATCTGACTTGAATAAATATTGCGAAGAAATTCTTAGATCCTTACTTTTTACGGGTGCCCATTTTTGGCCGATGAAGGGTATCACTACTGATATGATTATCCCCAAGATCCAATTTCTGAATAAATTTCAACAAAATCCATTTGTAGAATTAGGTAAAGCAATATAAGTGTTATTTTCAAAGAATATGAGATCGACTGCGTGACTCCTTTCTTGTCATCTCAGTTTGATACACAGAACGAAATTCAACAACTTACAAAGGATCAAAAGGAGGGCCAGAAGGTGTTGGAGGTCCTGGTTCAACACTGCTCCGAACAACCCAGATCCTAAAACAAAACATTATTTCAGATCATAAACGTGTAAGTAAAACCCAGGTAAGAAATATTTCTTAGAACAAGAATTCATCTTCTTAAATGGTAATTTTCGACGCATTGAAGAGCAAAAAAAAGAACAACATCAAGTAAAAAATCATGGTACCATAATTTCAGCATACCTTTTAATTTTGCCACTCTTTGCCACTAGACTTGTGTTGTTGAGACATTGGACTCTTAGCTTACAATTCTTGTGGCTTTTGAAGGCCAAATTTGCAGAAGAATTTGGTTTGAAAAGAGGTTCAAAGGCATGATGGGGCTTATAATTAATATGGAGGCTAGTATTCGAACTGAATTCATTGATGGATTTTCTCATTATCATAACTAAGGATATAGAAATTAATATTTGTATCAAAGAAATGGGGCGGTTTGTGATAGATCGATCGATGCCCAAGAATACTCTGACTGCAATGGATATCAAAATGTTGTGAGACTTTCATATCAACCACTCCATTATACAAAAGTCAACCTTCATAGGAAGGACTAAGGAGACTATTGATTGGTGGGGGTGGATTAAAAGATAATTAGAGAATATTCAAAGATTGAAAACTCCATCTTTGATAAATAAATATTATAAATCCAATTAGGGGTGTCCAAAAGTCCCGATCCGAACCGGACC